TATACTGTTCTAACGGCATTGTTTTTAATTCAATTTTTTTTATCAAGCCTGAATTTTTAGTGGGGGGCACCTGGGGGGGGCAGAAAAAATTTGTGGGGGCACGTGCCCCCCCCCGTAGCTACGCCCCTGCGTACATGGGTGTGTGTATGCTTGTCTGTCTGCGCGGGCGTACATGAGCGCGTGTGCGCGTATGAACGGCGAGTTCATGTACGCGTCTGTGTAGGTACGCGTGCGTTGTGTATAGGCGCACGTGCGTGCGTGCGTGCGAACGTCCGTGAGTGCGTGGGCACAGAATACATATCGTAAAAGGCCCATATTCGAGAATAACTTTCGACGGGTCTCTGCGACTCTTCAGGCATTTCATTCATGTCGTAACTGAGGGTAGTGTTTTTTTCTGCAAGTTTTTTTGTGTGTGAAAAATGATATTTAATCAGAAGCTTATAAAAGGAAAGGTTCCGTTTATAAGCTCCTGATTTAATGACACACGATGACCGACGGCAGGTGATATCACCAGCATGAATGTATGATCACAGACTTACCGTGTTACTACTAAGACACTGCTGGCCTAGACGGTCGACCAATTAGAGCGCCTACCCTTTCGGATGAAACGCGTGAAAGGTGCGAGTGCTGAATCATCCGCATTCCGGTTACATCCGACCGGTTTCGCACCGAGGATGATCGTTTTTTATGTCATAATCTGTTTATTTCTGGCAGCAAATCTTGAGCCGTGCTCAATGCAGTTGAAATCGTGTCTTGCATACGAGTATCCTCGTGAAAGGAGCTGTTTAGCATTGACGTTAGCAGCACCGTCGACCTTAGCATTGACTTTATATCTGTACAATACTTCGTTGTTCGTCGACATCATTATATAACGCACGATCGCGAGATAGCGGTCCATCACGTGGGCATAGCCGTAACGCCCTTCGAGGTAATCTAAACGTATAAAAACACGAGAGCGTAAAGCTAATATCTGTCTTCACGTTAGCAGAGACGGGAATGCATGCAACCCCGTCGCGTGGCGACTTATCGGGATACATATATATATATATCGGACTTATCGGATATCACTTATCGGGATTATGTATCTGAGAACCATTTTCGTGATTCTAGTTGTGGTCGGGCCGATTGCGTTTGGTTTCCCGGGAGGCGTGCCAATGTCGGCATGCGGCAGCCTGCTGCCACGTCACGGACGCAACACACCTATGGATGGACCCGCACCCTACATCGTCATTGTAGATGCGATATCATATGTGCCTAACCAAATAGTGAACGGTATGTTGCTGGAGAATCACGATGTTTTTGGTGTGGTGGGGAGGGGGGAGGGGTAGTGAGTGAACCAGATGCGTGCGTATGAGCACTGCAACGTGCCGGTTAATAACAAGACATGTTTATGGTTAATTATTTAGACCGAGATGTTTCTAGTGTAAACTGGTATTCTGCAAGGAGCTAAATATAACAAGGAGAGGAAGCGGATTGGCTGTGTGATTTTCGCCTCAAGGACGCCATCTATGAACCATAATCAGCTGAAACGCCTGTGCAGACCACTGATCTCTATAATATATTATTATTATTATATTATTATTATTATTATTATTATTATTATTATTATTATTATTATATTATTATTATAGAGATCAGTGGTGCAGACCCGAACCCAGAGACAATAGAACACTAATCTGGTCTAGGCCAATATGACCAAATATGGCAAAGATTTGGGCCAGATATGGCGGCGCTTCCTCTCCTTGTTGTATATACGTAGCTCCTTGGTATTCTGGACCGAGCGATATACGGGGCTAGAGCTTGCATTCGGTGTCTTACTTTATGGCAAGGCTAGCGAACTTTTTTTTAATTCCATGATTATCCTCCAATACATGGTATATATTTATATGTAACTCTTGTTGTTATTGTGATGGCAAAAATTAACAATATTTTGATACTGGGGGGCTGCATTTTTTTGAGTGAACTCACGTACTGGCGGCAGATCACATCCGTATGGCTGCCGAAGCGATGGAATTTTTTAATGGTATTCCTCGAACATTAGCACACAGTTGCACATAGCTGTAGCCAGTAAAAACGACTCGCTTCATGGCGCTATAACAATTATTAACTTAATGTTTTCGGCAACACGTCTATCACTTACTACATTTAAGATCTTCTCTATTACAGTTTTACTGGCCGGAAGCTCTCTGTGGCCATTCGAAGGATTTATGCTACAGGCACGCAACAGTGCGAGTGAAAGCATAGTAGGAGAGTTTATAACAACACCTAATGGCACCAAAGTTTTGGAATGCAGCGGAGGTCCGACCACTATGACACACGCTAGTAATGACAAGAGGATATGGGATGTGTTCAGCTGGCGAGCGCCGAGCGACAACGTTGGCGATATTTATTTTACGTAAGTACGCGCCTTAAATTCCTCCTGGAATAACGATTGCGATTAGTCGTTAAGTCGCTTAATGATAATAATAAGCTATTAATAATTAGCTATTAGTTATAATTATAAGCTCACAATTAACCCCATAGAGGAAGTCGATAGGCTCGTCTTGAACTATATCAAAGCATCTATGATCAAAGGGTAGTATATAACTTATGATTAATTGCGCTCCCTGCCGATATATTATTACCCGTAAAGGACACCCTGACCACTACAATGCTAATATCAGGTATGATGTCATAATATAGAGTATATTATGACTCGTGATAACATCATGGCATCGCGTTTGTCGTACGGCGTGGGGCGCTTGTAAGTAACTGAACCCGCCGACAGATGTCGCCACGAACATCGAGCGATTCCGCGTTTGACGTGATCGTATGAACCTTTGCATAGAGAGACGACGCTAAGCGGCATACGCAGTTAGTGAAATCCGGTACTCATGTCCTTCCCGTCCGTACTGCTGGACCCCCGCCCACAAGAAATTGAAAAAGTCTACAATGCAGGATAAAAAAGGCCAACAACGTGTACTGGCCCTTGGGTGCTGGCGATCACGAAAGTACGTTGTATACGACAGGCTTCAATTGAAGGGGTAAGGGGGGGAGATACAATACATCCCCAGTTTTTCAGGTAAAAATATGCTATTACCCAGTTCTAAGTTAAAGAAAATTGCAATTTCGCCTTCCTACTTCCCGGGTGACATCTATTCCCGAATACCGAAAATTTATTCCAAGATAATTATGACGAATTAATACCGCGTTTCGAAAATAATTGTTCAACCTTTTTATTCGTGCACGGGACTAGATCTCTGTATCACCAAATTCAATTTAAATTAAAAATGCAAATGCAAATTGGTTTTATTGCTCAATGATCTCACAGATACATTGGCAAAATAAATTTAAATAAACATACAAGTACTGCAATTGTGCAGGAAGAGCTAGAAATATAGCACAATAAAATTCAATAGGCACAATAATCAAACATGCAGCAGAAATCGCTATTAGTCTATGAAGCTATCTCTCTAAATATGTTGGCCCGAATATACTCATTCTCTCCCGGAAAACGCAATTATAGCGCGTATGCAGTGACACGCCGGATATTATCTAAGTCGCGAGAAAGCCGGCAGAAAGGATCAATGGTTTGGAAACACCGAATCACTACCAATACGTGCTGGTAAGCACTGGCCAAGTATTTATTGTGTGTGAAACACTTTTAGGGAGCTTACCTTTACCAGAAAGCTACGGACATCCTACCTGCATGCACATCATCTAACACACAAAACACGAACACAACGTAAGTGATGATGCGCGCGTGAAACGCGATTCCAAGCGTGACGTGAATACATAACGCGCATGCACGCGGTATTATAGCCCGTATTTACAAATCGCTCCGACGATTTCTTAGGTAAATCGTTCCTTTAACACTGAGAAGCATCACAAACGTTGAACCTTGGAGTAATCATTCGAAGTGATTACTCCAAGGTTGAACCGAGTACTTTTCTCGGACAAGACACGTATAGTGCTTCTATATTCTCCGTCTCCGTGATTCTCTCGTCCGAACTCGCTTATTTACATCCCGTCTTTGTTTAACTATATGTTCACTGATGACATATTATTATTATCATCTTATCATCATTAGCAAATGAATTCGTTTTCTCGAGTAGACGCTGGTATCGATTAATTTCATGTTTTACGAAAATAGCTACCCAGATAAGAGATTTCAAGGAGACGTGTACGTTAATAGCGCAGTTATTACTATCGTTTACGCTGTCATATATAATTAAACAATATATTGCACCTGCACCTTGAAAAATCTCACTATAACCAGACTTGTTCTTCTCTGTTGGCCGCGTATAATTTACACACGCAGTAGTTTTCTTGCTTGACTCGTGCAAGCACACGGCCCATATTATTAGCGATCAAAAAATATGTTGTGTTATACTGTCGGGGAGGATACAGTAAATTATCGCCCGTGTCTGTGTTTTACAGTGCCACCATGCTGAGAAGCTTCAACAAGTACTGGGTTGATATGAGATCTAGCGTCATTTCTGGGCCAGCTAGTGCAGATGGCGACACTGTCCAGGGAATCATCGTAGGAGCCTTGGGATAGAAATGCAAGAAATATCGTAAATCGATTAATCGAGAGTCAACTAGAATCTATTTTGTCGTAGAAAGTACGGTAGCAAGGATCCATTGATTAGAAGTGTCAATTATTATACTTTAGTGGTAACAGTAATAATAAGCAACAAGAAGGTATATCCAGGGACGTAGCTAGAGTGGGTGGGGGAGAAGGGTATTGGCCCACCCCACACCAATGTCGATATACTATTACATTCCCAATACCGAGCTGCCCTTGGTCAACTGCCGAGAACGCAACCCAAGCGCGGGTTTGCCTCACCAGACAAAATGCTGTGCCCATAATATAAATTTAGAACCAATAAATTTTTGAAATAATTTAAGGGTACAGTCAGTGTTACGGACAGGTACCTCTGTAAAGGGCATTGCAACATATCTGCTCACCAAATTCAATCAAACTCGTATCTATTTAATAAAATAGATGTCTCACTACG